GCCATTGAGAATTCATAGTTGGTGCTTATTTTGGCCTTTAAACTGTTCATTTGTACTGTGAACTAGATTATGTGCTTCTAACTGTCAGTTAGCTGAATGCATTTCGAGTCAATTTACTAAAATAGTCACTGTTAAGCGGTATATTTGGACAGAGTTGACACCTTTGACATTTTCTAAAATGGCAAAAATAGCTGTATTTAAGGGTAAGATTTATGAATGTTGTGTGCTTCCAGAACTTCCATTTGATGATGGTTTTCTGTTTGGTTGCTGGATCTCTTCCCACAAACTATTGAAAAAATATTAATTAGTATTTGTGCAATCAGGTATATAACATGGACAGAAGAGAGCCAGACATGCGGACAGGACCACACAGATACATAATATGATCTACACACAGTGACTTTCTAAAAAGAAAGTCTTCCAGTTGTCTTTGTGTCATGGGAGTAGAACAGTTGGAATTGTGGTAGAAGCAGAGAGTACGGAAGAAGAAGATAAATAGGTTGGAACGGCCTTTATGAAACACATAATCTTTGGTATAAATAAGAAAAGCAACTTGCCATGATTAAAAAGTATTTTGAATCCTTAGTTGTCTTCTAGATTGCTGGCCTCTATTAAAAACTTCTTAAAATAATAGATAGATTTAATTCCTCAAGCAAAAGAAAAATTATATCATCTTAAAGATTTTCCATATTTATTATATAGATGTGACTTGACTACAGGGGGAAAAGGAGCAAAAGCTCATGTATTGCAAGTTTTAAATGTATCAGGCTAAGGTTTACTTAATTGGAACCTCCAGGCAATAAAGGAGCCCTTTTTAAAATTCTGTGATTCTTAATATGCTAAATAATGCAAAGCTTCGACTCTTCAAGCATGAGACACACATCTGGCAGCTTAACATTTAAATTACAGGGGGAAAAACCCTCCCTTCAGTAGTAATTTTCTCAAAGAAAAGAATGGGAAATGTATTACAACTAAATTTAATTTCTTTTTAGATTTTCATCTTGTCTAATTGCAGGCATTTTTCTAGGTTCTTTGTATTTATATTTTACCATATTTCTGTACTTTTTATTAATCTTTAATTTGAGATGCTACTTTACAGCTCTTAAAGAAATGCGGCATGTTTTACTTAGCAAATTGTTTCACAAAATCCATCTGATCTCAAGTAATAAAGACAATGGTATATGAAATAAAAGGAAAATGGAATTTCAGAGACCCATAAAAATATTACTGACAAAAAGCAACATTTTCAGTTGGCTCCACTTTCAGGCTTTAATTTTTTTCCCGTGTTAATGTTTTCTCTGTTTTGTCATTTTCTGGTTGTTTTTCATGCAGAAGTTATTATAAACAGCATTCTTTCCTTATATTTCTCCGAAGGACAGTGTCAGGTCCTTGATTAATTTTACAAAGGTCATTTGGAAAAACCATTAAAAATATGCCAAGTAAAAAAGATTAGCACAACACAAGGAAAATGCACTCTTATAAACATATGCATTTATATATAGATAGGGTACTGTAACATTATACAATCTTGACAAGTGTTTTCTTTGTGCACCTCATGTATTATTAAAAATATGACTGTTTCATTTATTTTTTTCTGGGTGATACCAGCTGACACATTCCCCAGACAACAGCAGGTTAATGTTATTTGTAAACATGCTTTTTTCTTAATATAAAAATATATGACAGCTAATAGTCTCATAAAATAAAGTGGACTTTCAAAATAATTATCCTACATTTGTATTAAATGTTTGCTAGTTAAACTGTGACAAATTCACATATGAACATTCATATCTACATTTTAATTTAAAAAGTAAGCAACATTATAACTTTCAATGTTAACTGTAGTAGAACATCAATACTAACTCTTCTGTTATCACCAACCATTGGACAGAAAATATGAAGGTGCCCTTTGGGGGTCAATGCCATCAAGAAGCACAGGTGGGGAGACATTTATAAGCAAATCCTGTAAGGTTGGGACTGGCCTTGAACCTAGGGAAAATACCCTGTGAAGTGGAAGCTGAGAAGTCCCACTGAACTGAGGGCACAGAGTTCTGAGAGGCTGGGTTCTTCAGAGTAGACAGAGATCAGGCAAATATGAGCATCAGGACCCGTCCCCACCGCGAGTCCTCAACTCAGGCCTTTGCGACATGTAACCCTGGTAACAGCAACCGATGCTTCACTAAGTGGCTACTTGATACTGGCTGTTCCAGACTTGAGGGTGGGATGGAAACAGCAAATTTGGAAAAGAGGTGGAGTAAAGCCCAGCTGGCAGAGGCACGTTAACTGCCGCCATGATCAATTTGCACAGTAAATTGAGGTACCATCAGTGTCGATGTTAGAAAGAAAAATGTGGGGGCCTGTATTGTGGCACACTGGGTTAAGCCACTGCCTGTGATGCCAGCATTCCATGGTGGAGCATGGATTGAGTTCTGGCTGCTCTACGTTCCATCCAGCCCTGATAATGCTCCTGGAAAAGCAGTGGAAGACCCAGATGGAATTCCTGGCTCCTGGATTCGGTCTGGCCCAGCCCCTGCCATTGGGGCCGTTTGCGGTGGGAACCAGCAAATGGAAGATCTCGCTTTCCCTGACTGTCCCCTTCTCTCTGTCACTCTGCCTTTCAGTTAATTAAAATAAATCATTTTTGTAAAGGAAATAAAATGTGTCTTCTGCAGTGGCTTACTTTAAACCTGCAAAGAAAGTCTAAAACAAGCTCTGGCGAGATAAGCAGGGGGTTTCAGAATTTGAGTTTGAATTGTCAAGTTCGGAAGTTTTCATAGATCCTCCTAACAAAGTATATACCCAGATCTTCACAGACTTAAAATTATTATCCAGTAATTGTGCTGTCTGCTAGAGCAAATATCAACACATTTCAGAGGAAGATAACAGAATCCAGAGGGCTTTTTTTTTTACAACTTCCATTATACAATCTACAATTATAAGACATGCAAAGAAATAAGGGAATACATATTTTAGGAAAGGAAAAAAAGGGGAACAAAATAACGCCGTTGGCTCAGGTATTAAATTTGGCAGGAAAAGATATTAAAACATTCATTATGAAAGTTCATTTATTTCAAGACGATTCTAGCAAATGATTAAAAGGAACTGAATTCTTCATGAGTGAATAGTTTGGGGCCTCTCAACAAACACAGGGAAATTGTGTAAAAAATCAATGAAACAGAAAACCTCAAATATAAGAATTGAATGAGAACTCACAAGGTAAGTAACTGGGACTCAAATCCAGGCACTCTAAGATGGGGTGAGAGCATCCCTGTGGTGTTTTAGCTGACTACTGTATCTAATCCCACCTAAGCCACAGCAAGGCCTCAGAATGAAGAATAGTTTATATGAGAACAAAGAAAACATTTAAGACTTTTGAGAATCTACCTCTTGATAGGCACTTTATCACTCTGATAGGCACAACATTACATTTTAATACATCAATGTATACGTCCTATTAAGCCAAAAATGATTACTGGGAGGCAGAATTTTACGATGTTCTCCCAAACTCATCCAACCTCTACTCAACAAGCGAGAGATTACCCAGGTGACCTGAATCCCATGAACTATTAAGCATAGAATTTTCTTAGGCTGGTAACAGAAGTTAGAGAAACATGCAAAGGATGCAACCTGCTACTGTTGACTTGAAGACGGAGGGGACACATGGGGAGTTTGAGAAGCAAATGAATTCTGCCAGTAACTAGCAAATCTGAAGAAGGCTCCTAGCCCCAGATGAGAATTGCAACCTTGGCTAATATATTACTGTTGGCCCCATGAGACTTTAAGTAGCGAAACAAGCTAAGACCCACCATGCCCTTAAAGACCTAGGCTAGGTAGCAAGAGGCTGGCAGAGTCATATTCAGGGAGAAAAAAATTTACAGTTTGCTAACACAAGTCCATGTCCTTAAAATTTTACACTGCTAAAATATGTTCATATGGACAATTCCAAATGTCAGGAGGCAGCGATATTCAACCCCAAGAGGAATAAGAGAGGACAGGAAGCAAAATTTTGCTGTTCTTGATACAGATATCTTTTTGGGAAAAACTATCAGGTCAACCTCCTCATCAAAGCTGTGGCTGCCCTGGGCCCTCCAAGCACTAAAAGCTTCTGGACCAGGATATTTGTAACAAGAACTTGGGCATAGGTCTTGGTGCAAGAATTCATCCAAGTGAGAGCTCAGGCCGTTGGCTCAAGAGGCATAAAGCTGTGATAATATCTGTTGATATGATACCTCCCTTTATTTCAGAAACATTTATTGAGGAAGTACTCTTTCTCAGGCAATATGCTAGAAACTTTAGGAGAAACACAGTTGAACAAGACACGTGGTCTACAAAGAGGTTATGATCTGAGAAGAACGCTCTCAGCTGAGGATGTCTGGTACTCCAGGGTACAGTCGGCAGAGACAGTTTTGGTTGGCATAACTGGGAGGAGGTTCTGGAAGATGGGTGGATGGCTGGATTACTGCTATGCAAAGCACAGGACAGTTCCTACCACAGAGAATTATCCAGCCCCAAATGTCAATAGATGGAGAAACCCTGGTGTAGGAGAAGTCATGCAAGATATGAAGATATCAAAAAGGTAGCCTAGATGAGATGCGCTGGGTACAGGCAGAGAACACAGTTCCCTCCCAATCTCAGTTTCATAATGGACCATTGATATGAGGTTCAGGAAAATTTCTTTGAAAATACAATCCCAGAAACACTGTTGGTGATAGAGAATCCCACACAGATGAGTTTATTTGGGAAATAGGTTAGAAGTGGCCACTGCCTGTGTATGTGCTCATGCTGTGGTTGATACTCAAGTTCAACGTGAAGTTTGTAAACAGGCTAAATTAATACTGGGAGCATAGAGCAGCTGGGAGCCTTCTCCTTTAGAATTCTTCCTTTTACTCCCATTTGTCAGGCCTTATGTTAGCTCTTAGATTTCATCAGCGTAAGCTTACATATCTGCTGCAGTGAAAATCAGTAATACATTTTTCCCACTTTTTTGTTCTTAACCCTAGGGAGCATTTCTAATAAAATTGGTCCCTGCCCTAAGGACTGTGATCTCAATCTCTTAAAAGAAGACCACGGATTACACTCTAAGGTAAGATGAAGGCTGGAGAAAGACCATGAAGCATCAGCCCCTGATGATTAACTACGATTTCCTAGAATGTATTTCCAGGTAGAAAGTAATTTGGTATTGCAAGAAGGTTTTGCAGTGCAGGACATGCTAAACCAGCTGATGTTTGAGAAATCAGTAATGCCAATAATTTTTTTCACACACCCAAATCAGACTTCTTTCAGCTGTTGAAGACTTTAGTTAAATTAATCAAATGACAATACCATGGGCAGAGTGATTAGAAAATTTGCTGATTGTACAGTGCTCCAGTGATTTATCTGACATGATCATGGCTTCCACGAAGTCTATATAGAAATCATCTTGATACACTTACACAGAATAAGTAGCCTATATTTCCAAAGCACTGCTTACATTAATTGTACTGGCACTACTAGATGTAATAGTTAGATACATAAACATTTCCAAAACTGGTATCTACCTAGATCCAGTGACCAAGTTTTAAGTATTCAGAAAATCAGGGTGGTTGAAAATGGAAGTAAGGCCAGCACCGTGGCTCACTTGGATAATCTTCCACCTGTGGCGCCGGCACCCCAGGTTCTAGTCCCGGTTGGGGCGCCGGATTCTGTCCTGGTTGCTCCTCTTCCAGTCCAGCTCTCTGCTGTGGCCCGGAAAGGCAGTGGAGGATGGCCCAAGTGCTTGAGTCCTGCACCCACATGGGAGACCAGGAGGGGGCACCTGGCTCCTGGCTTCGGGTCAGAACATGCGCAACGTAGCGGCCATTTGGGAGGTGAACCAACGGAAGGAAGACCTTTCTCTCTGTCTCTCTCTCCCTCACTGTCTAACTCTGCCTTTCAAAAAAAAAAAAAAAAATGGAAGGAAAAAGATTGCTTCCTACCATGATACCTTCTGTTAGAAGTTATCTAAAATATTATCATAATGTTCTCCTTTCTTGACTAAATAAATAAATACATTTTAATTGTGAGGCACCACACATACAGTAGGGGCTTCACAAAGTTTGTAGAAAATGGAATTAAGAGATAAGTTTATTTTGGTCTAAACAAAATTTGAAATTCAAGTATAGTTTTTCAAAATATTTTTTTCTCACTGTGAAGGCTCTTGGTGTGATTGAATTTCAAAACTTTTTTTGCACCAAAATAAACATCTTTTAATTCATTTTTCTATGAACTTTTTGAAGTCCCCTCAAATATCAGCTAGCTGTCTTAGGTTGTGTAGGTACACTCCAATATTCCCACAATGAGAAAACTGCTTAACAATGCGTTTCTCAGAAAATATCCGTTTCATTAACTGATTTTTGACTATATAAGTCTAGAAAGACCATTTTTATGCCTTGATCTCAAGATTGACTTAAAAAAAGACTTTAATGTAAATCTTTCTCTTTTTTCCCCTCATCTAGTGTCTGAATAGTGGGCCATCATCTAACCAAGTAAATGGGTATTTAATGTCCAGATGGCCACCTGCAGCATTCACAAATGTGATCGCTTCTATATCATAGTCGGTATTAAAGAAGAAAGCTTAGGACCAAACAGTTTAGCTGCATTTGTCACAGTAAGAGATGACATTTACAGAGCAATTGGAGATGACGAAGTCCTGGCTAATGTTCTCAGTCCTCTACATCAAATGCTTCGGCTTGATGCTGCTGTGGTCATTGTCATCCCCATTTTACAAGTGAGAAAAAAATGAAGCATAAGGAAATGAAGTGATTTAGGCTAAATGATGTTGCTAAGAAGTCCATAGCTGGGCATTCACCCTGTCTGGCTCTAGAGTCCATATTTGCATCAACTGTGAGATGATCTTTTGGAAAAAATGTGTATTTCTTTCTTCTTTGTGCCAGGTGCATATTTCCTGTATTCAATCCTTATGTCTTTAATTTATGGGCTAGGATATAGGCACTCCGGTGTGGGACATGGAAGTTGAAACCAGTATCTTAACCCCTAGGTTAAATGCCTACTCCAGATGCTTTTATGTGTCCTCTTTGAGAAACTAAAGAAAGGATATGTTCGTGAGACTTCTAGCTTATTATAAGTTTACTATTAGCCTCTTCAGTACTTTGGCAAAATCCTCATAGCAGTGGTTGATCTTAAATATGCTTTGGAATTAGAAGAAAGGCTAAAATAGGTATGATGGCAATGAACATAATCCCTCCAAATACCTAAAATTTGTCTCTATGTTTTCTTGGCTTTCATGTTCAATTAAGGTATTCTCTTGTTCGTTCTATTTTTACTACTACATTTCACAAATTATTCCTCAATTAACTCTGAATCGCTTCCAGAAGTACCATGCGCATGTTGGGAATATTTTCATTCATGTCAGTGCCGTGAGATGACAGAGCCAGAGCCATCCCTCAGTTTCAAGCAACTTAGTACTGCAGGTAGAAAAGAAAATGTCAATTTTCGAACGTGGATAGGCCACCTTCTTTTTTTTATTCTTTTTTTTTAATATTTACTTATTTATTTGAAAGCAGAGTTACACAGAGAGAGGAGAGGCAGAGAGAGAGAGAGAGAGAGAGAGAGAGAGAGGTCTTCCATCCGATGGTTCACTCCCCCATTGGCCACAACAGCTGGAGCTGTGCCAATCCGAAGCCAGGAGCCAGAAGCTTCTTCCAGGTCTCCCACGTGGGTGCAGGGACCCAAGAACTTGGGCCATCTTCTACTGCTTTCCCAGGCCACAGCAGAGAGCTGGATTGGAAGTGGAGCAGCCGGGTCTTGAACCGGCGCCTACGTGGGATGCCAGCGCCCCAGGCCAGGGCATTAACCCGCTGCGCCACAGCGCCGGCCCCAGACCACCTTCTTGATGATAAACAGTCTCAATTTGAGACGCTGCACTCCAGTATATGCATTTTATTTGTTTTTAAACTTCTCATGGTTATAGGAATTAGTTTGGATCTTCTGTTGATGTCAAAGACTCTAGCCTGGGCAATTCATAAAAGGACGATGGCACAATGAGATTAATGCTGAACTTCAGATGTGCTGCAGAGGTGTTTCAATCGTTAACCTTCAGAGAACAAGCCGAATGCGTGGTCCCCAGAGAGGGCAGCGATTTCCCCCGGGGGCAGGAGCAGAAGCCCGAGGGCATTACTGACTGCGGATGTTTCTCCTGCAGATCTTGAGACACAAGTGAATGATGTCTTATTTCCCCCTTGGAACAGTTCATGGAAAGTCCATCCTGTGAAATTTTCTGGCAAACACATCTGCCTTGAATTAATGACAGTAAAGAAAGGGGTAGCAGTATTTGGCTGGATGGTCTCAGGATTTAGGCTGGATTTAATCCGGAGCTATGAGGGATTTTTGGGGGGAGAGGGGCAAGAGATGACAATAACAGCACCTTCTAGAAATGAACATGATGTCATATTTACTTGCTTTGACACTTAAGGTACATCTGCTGTGTGTTGTTGTCTGTGACTTGGCGTGCTGTGATCTTTACTAACAGAATCTCTTAGCAGCGTTATCTTCACCCGAAACCTTCCTCCCTGCCTTCTTAAAAAATGGTGAGCGTCATTTGGACAGTCATTACAGATTCCATGACTGCTCACTTCTAATCTCCCCAGGGCAGTTCAAAGGCATCCATAATCCTCAGGATTCAGCCCTTTATCACCCCTTGCTTGCTCTAAGGCTCTCTGCTTTGATGAAAACAATTCCCTTGGTATTCATCTGGTCAGACGGGCAGGTGAACTATTCTTCCCAGAGACCCACACAAAATGTTGCTGCTAAGTGGAGCTTAGCTGTGCTGACACCTTAATGCTTTCCCATGACACTGGTGTCACTGTCCTAGGAACTGCAAACCTTTCTCACCGCTCCTGTCATCTCCATCCTTCTCCACACACTGATAGGCCCTTGGAGGGAATCACGGCCAACGGGATAAAACCTGTAAACACCAATATGGGAATCCTAAGTGCTGCTTCTTGCCATATAACACCAGTAGATAGGCCTATATGTCATGAACTCAGACAACTTGGAGATTCTGCTCCTAAAATAGTTTCTGCATAGTTGTTTCATAGAAAAATGAAAACTCTCCTCAATGCAGAAGAAAAATCATCAAATACTCAAATTAACACTTGTGTCATGCTGTGTATTATGCAAAATACTGCTTAGATCCTTACTATATTCCACAATATTTGAAGTGATATCTCCCTCTCTAAGAATTTTATATATATATGTATATGTGTAAATTAATTGTGCCAATTATAAAGCTATCTATGCCTAGATTTCTTTTCATAAAAATCCTGTCATCTGTGTAGGACAAACATGTTTTTTATTTTTCAGATTAAAAACTGAAGTTCATGTACTTTTAAAAATATTTATTACTTGAAAGATAATTACAGAGAGAGAGAGAGAGAGAGAGATCTTTCATCCACTGGTTTACTCCCCAGATGGCTACAACCACTGGGGCTGGAAGGGGTGCATTAACAGGGTCTTGGATTTGTAGTGGAGTACCTGGTACTTCAACAGGTGTTGACATGAAAAGCAGACATGGAAGGTGGCAATTTTACCCACTGGACCACAATGCCGGGCCCCCTCATATACCTTCTATAACCCTTCTGAATTCAAAAAGTAGTGAGAAGACTTGAATATGTGTTTTCTGGCCATCACTTAAGTACTCTTTTCACTGGAACACCATACATTTTAGGTTTCAAATTACTCGAGATACTTTCTGCCTCTCAATTTGTGTTTGGAAGAGTTCTCATTCTTTGTTTCCTAACTGGTATTGTATTTGAAGGGAATCTTTATAAAACAAATATGTAGTCTGTAAAATTAAAAATTGATCTTTGATTTTTAGCAATTTCTATTCAAATATTTATCCTTGATTTCCATATGATGTGTCAGGAAATGAGTATTCACAGATATCCTATATAACATGTGTTATTCAGTAATAAATCTATGTTACCAGTTTCCAGTTTAAAGTATGAATACTCATTATGCTGAAGACATTGCTTTTTGAGGACTCTCCCTCATTTTTTAATGATGATGTCTTTGGCTTTAGGGTACAGACAGGGATTATAGGTGCAAAGACCAACTTTCTTCTTTTTTTAAATGTTGGCAATGTCATAGGTAAAGCACTCTCTCTCAGGCAGAGAGTCACCATACAGGGGTGCTTGGTAGGTGGTGACCGTATTGATCTTGTGTGGACAGGCTCTCACACCCTGACAGTTTCTCTACACACATTTACCACCTTTTTGGAATCACAACTTTTACTGTTTTGTGCTTTTGTTCATTTCTTGGGGTCATTTCTTTAAGTATAAACTAGTTTTGGTAATTTTATGTTCCAAAAAAGCTCATTTGAGGGAATCTCTTAGCCAATTCATTTAGATTTTCCTTAAAAGAAATGCAAGGGTTGAGAAGTGAGTTGAGTACGCAAGAGCTGTGACTGTTCAGAATTCACAGGAATATTTCCTTATAGCTTAATAACTAGAGGTAAAGTCCATTGATATAATTAGAATGTTAAGTACTTGATGAAATGATACCTAATAGCTACTTCTTGGGCATCTACTATGTGATTGTTATCATGCTAGATGTTGTAAAAGACAGAAGTATTCTATATCTCATTTCTATCATGAATTCAGTTTGAGGAAACATGATGGGTATTAATAAATTAACTGGTGGAACTTGGGACACATTGCTGAGTGAAGAAAGCCTGACACTGAAAGAAGTACTGCACATTCTCCCCTATACATGGGGGCTAAATTTTTTATAAAAAGCAAAAAAGTAAAGAAATGCCTGTGTATATCAGTTCTGCTGCAAATACAGTGTTTTGCCAATCTTTATAAATTGTTAAGAATTATGTTTTAACGACTTTGTTATCATTTTAAAATTTATTTTATATGAGTGAAGTTGGACATTTTTTCATTTAATTGTTGTTTACAATCTACCTATTTTCCAGTTATGTTCTTTTTGTTTGCTTTTTTAAATTTTTTTCTATTTTCGTATTTTTTGGTTTTTTCAACTTTTATTTAATAAATACAAATTTCCAAAGTACAACTTTTGGATTACAGCTGTTCTTTCCCCCATAACTTCCCTCCCACCCACAAATCATCCCATCTCCCACTCCCTCTCCCATCCCATTCTTCACCAAGATTCATTTTCAATGATCTTTTTATGCAGAAGATCAACTTAGTATATACTAAGTAAAGATTTCAACAGACTACACCAACACAAATACACAAAGTTTCAAGTACTGAGTAGTAATTTTACTGTTAATTCACATAGTACAACAGATTAAGGACAGAGATCCTACATGGGGAGTAGGTGCACAGTGACTCCCGTTGTTGATTTAACAATTGACACTCTTGTTTATGACGTCAGCAATCACCTGAGGCTCTTGTCATGAGTTGCCAAGGCTATGGAAGCCTCTTGAGTTCACAAACTCTGATCTTATTTAGACAAGGCCATAGTCTTTTTACTTTTTATTTTTGAACTTTATATTGATTGGAAGATTAACCTTTGAGTATAACGTAAGTTAAATTTTTGTTATCTCAAAAAAATAAAAGGTACAAAATGAATAAATAAGTAAATTAGGCTGGTGCCGCGGCTCAGTAGGCTAATCTTCCACCTTGTGGCGTCGGCACACCGGGTTCTAGCCCTGGTCAGGGCACCGGATTCTGTCCCGATTGCCCCTATTCCAGGCCAGCTCTCTGCTGTGGCCAGGGAGTGCAGTGGAGGATGGCCCAAGTGCTTGGGCCCTGCACCCACATGGGAGACCAGGAGAAGCACCTGGCTCCTGCCTTCGGATCAGCGCGGTGTGCTGGCTGCAGCGCGCCGGCCGCAGCGGCCACTGGAGGGTGAACCAAGGGCAAAAGAAAGACCTTTCTCTCTGTCTCTCTCTCACTGTCCACTCTGCCTGTCAAAAAAAAAGATAATAAGTAAATTAGCAACTGCAAAGTAATGTAATGCATTTTGTCATGAAACAGTCATACCTCAGCAAATCAGGAGTTCTGGTGGATAATTCTTGATAGTCACTTCAACTTTATGTCAAGTGAGAGTGGATAAATTACTGAGGCAACTAAAAAACAAGTTTTCAAATTTACATATTGAATAGCTAACAGAGGTATATTTTAAGTAGGCTATCAAGGTATGCTAATCAAATACATTTAGTCAGGACAATCAAAGCTCTCATATTTTTTCAAGGATTTGGCACTCTATACTTAGAATGGAGTAATCTAAAATAGCAATATGTAATAATCTGATAAATATACTCCTATAATAGGAGCTAAAGAGGCTTAGAAAGATAAAAAGAGCTGCAATAAAAAGTACTTTCAATTGATGGCTATCCTCCCTGGATTTTGTTCTTAAGGTAATCAAATCAATCAATTTCATAATAAAAGAAAGGAACCTTCTTGAGTTCACCGGGGTTTGATGACACACCTACTTCGCCTTGTTACTGCCAACTCAAAGCAACATCTTGCTGTTAAAAAATATTCCAACTACAGAGCTGTGCTAAAACTTGTGTGAAATGATGTCAAGGACATTCAAGCAACTAGCCTGTTACTAATTCAAATCAAGTGAGATGAGTCTAAAGAAAAGGAAAAAAGTGTTTGACACAACTATTTTATAAGGACAAGTCACACCTAATTTTCTACTTCTCTAGACTGATGGTATTCAAACCATTTTTTTTTTATCAGTAGTGTTTTGTGCAGTTTTGAAATTGAAGTTTTGTACAGGAGACTCCAATATATAAAGCAGATAAAAACTGAGATGTTAGATGGGAGAGAGAGGAAGTCTCTGATATGTTGATAACTTCTCCCACTCCCCACCACAGCTGAAATCCCAGGGACTCCTGAGTAAATTACAGGACCCAGTCTGTGTTCTGGACACATTATCATGTGTAACATAATTCTTCCAAGTTCTAGTAAATTAGCTTCACAGATATTATGTAAGTGTGTACTGCAGAAATGCTGAAATTTGTGTTGCTAGTCGTCTACTGTGGGACACAGGAGCTGCTGGTGACAAGTTAGAAATGAGTGACTCACCAAAGCAGAGCACTGTGGTAAGAGAGTCCTGGTAACTCTCCAAGGCCTCATGTTCCCCAAATCCAGCTGCTTGTCCTTAGACTGATTATTCAAATCTTTTTTCAAATTCCTTTTTGCTGACTGCTAGTTTAAGTTGCATTCCTTTAATTTGCAACCCAGGTTCTGAATAAATATAAATTCCATGACCATGATTATGTCTGTTTTTCCATTCTAACACCACTTACAGAAGCTACTTGGTGTGAGATGACTCAGAGCAGAACACACCATTCTCTCTGTCATTGTGGACATAAATATTTAGTGAGAGTCAGGGTGGGCACTGGTCTAGTGGTTATGACACTCTTGGGGACACTGACCTCCATTTTGAAGTGCCTGGGTTTGAGTCCCGCCTCTGCTCCTGCTTGCAGCCCCTTGCTAAGGCAGACATTAGGAGGTAGCAGGTGATGGCTCACGTAGTTGGGTCCCTACTACTTGTGTGGGAAACCTGGATTGAGATCCTAGCCCCTAAATTTGACCTACTCCAGCCTTGGATGTTATGAGTATTTGGGGAGTGAAGCAGTGGATGAGAGCTCACATTTAAAATACAAATATCATATGTTTTCCCTGATCTGTGGTAACTAATAGAGTACAAAAAATGAAATGTATATGAGTACAATTGATGCTTTGAGATTTGATTATTGTTTACAGCCCTTGTCTCTACCATTGAGGAGCAATCGTTTTTTTCTTCTTACTATTTGTTGGATTCTTTACTTAGTAGAGGGCTAAGCTTATTCTTATAAAATAAACTGAAAGTATGTTGTTAGAAAAATTAAAAGAAAAAATAAGAAAGGACAGAGGATGGAGGATGAGAACATGGACAGGAGGGAGGGTAAGATGGGAAGTATTACTATTCATATATGTGTATATGTGTAATTGTTCACCTTCCATGAATTAAAAAATTAAAATCAAAATAAAGAACTTATTGAGAGCCTACCAAGTATGAGACAATAATTTCATTGTGAAAACAATAAAAAGCAATAATTTCAATGCTTCTTTATGATGAGTGACTCTGTAAGACATTCTGGGGAAAATATCTCTGAAATTGGTGAATTTTCTATCTACTATTAATAAAACACTCCATTTTTACTTATTCATTTCTCTAACAAGGGAGAAAGGTTGACAGATCATCTTGTGAAAGAAAAATCAGCTGTTTGGATAACTGAACACCTCGAAGATCGTTCACAAGATACACCTTATTTGGAGGAACTGGAGGAACACCGGCTTTCAGTTTGGTGAGTGATTATCTTTTAATTCTCAAGTTTACATCCTTTGAAGCCAACAAGTCCTTATTCATTCTGTGCTTTGATTTTTTTGAACAAGGATTTATTGTGTTTTGAGCTGAATCTTTTTTTTAAGATTTATTTATTTATTTGAAAGGCAGAGTTACAGAGAATGAGGGAGGCACACACACACACACACATACAGAGAGAGAGAGAGAGAGAGAGAGAGAGAGATGTTCCATCTGCTGATTCACTTTCCAAATGGCTGGAATAGGCAGGGCTGGCCAGGCCAAAGCGAGGACCCAGGAGCTTCCACCAGATTTCTCACATGGGTGCAAGGGCCCAAACAGGCCACGTTTAGCTACTTCCAAGGAGCATTAGCAGGGAGCTGGATTGGAAGTAGAGCAGCTGAAACTCAAACCGGCACCCATATGGGATGCTGGCATTGCAGGCAGAGGCTTAACCCACTATGCCACAATGCCTGCCCCTGAGCTGAGTCATGCAGAGAACACAGCAAAAGAGAAAGGCTGACAATGTAGTGTTGGCAAGAAGGAACTGAGAGGATAGCTGGGTTGATACTCACTGGAAACCATAGTTCAATAATATCTGAATGTATCTTAGTCATTTATCTCTCTGGTGTGTATTTGAGTGTATCTGTTTATCATACACATATATAAAATATGAAATAAGGCATTAAAAAGAGTTAGAAAAAGACTGTTCAGAGGTAATGAACACGAGAATTTGCAATCATGAAATTCATCACGGTGGTGGGAAGGACAATGGTGACAGTGTGATTGACACAGGCAATAATCAAGAAAAGGTGAAGAAGTGGAATAAGCAAAGACATCTGTCCCTACCCAACGCCTGGCTGCATAACCCCTCAATCTATTCCCCACGTGGTTTTCCCACAGGGATTTATCTACCCTGTGACTTGGTTCTTAAAGAACTTTCTCTCATTCTCCATTCTGGAACCATGATGTGGAGTTCATGTTATCAGCTCAAGTTTTCCTTACCAGTAACATTGTTTTATGTTCTTTTATTTTAGAGGCAGACACACACACACACACACACACACACACACACACGAGAGAGATTCTATTATCATCCCCAAATGACTGGGCCAGGACACAAACCAGGAGCCTGGAGAACAATCCGTATCCCCACATGGGTGTCAGAAACCTCACTATTGGAGCCATAACTTCCTGTCTTCGTGCTATCAGAATCTGCATTAGCAGAAGCTGGAGTCAGGAACCCGAGCCAGGGATTGACTGGTTACTCCCACGTGAGATGTAAGCTAGGCCACGTTGTTGCTTCAGTCTTTACAATTCCTGCTGGTCTTGACTTAAATTTAGAGATATAAATCCTTTGACCAATGCTATCCTGGAGCTGCTGGAAGGTTGTCTCTGGGTCAAACAGTGAATTGTCATCTGGGTCAGGAGCAAGTCTTCACCTATTATGTATCAAGTGGGAACAGGAGCCAAAGAGCCCAGAAGACAGCGTATACACACACCTCTTCTAGAAAAAGAATACATGGGGGATGTCCTCTTTGAAGAAGGGAAAAATAACGTCTTCAAACAATACTTTATACTTTGTGTATCTGTGTGGGGTGTAGGTGCAAACTGTTGAAATCTTTACTTAGTATTTATTAAGTTGATCTTCTGTATATAAAGATAATCTTGATGAAGAATGGGATGGGAGAGGGAGTGGGAGATGAGATGGTTGCAGGTGGGAGGGAAGTTATGGGGGGAAAAACGCTATAATTCAAAAGTTGCACTTTGGAAATTTATATTTATTAAATAAAAGTTGAAAAAATTTATACACACACAAAAGAAAAATATACTTTCAGTTATGCAGAAATTGTCAGTGTGAATATATAGAATGTTGTATATATTCTATTAAATTCAATAAAATAACTGCCAAGGTGAATGATATTCCATTGTTTATGTGTATAGTAAGTTTTGCTTTTCTATTCATCCATCGGTGGACACTCAGGCTGATTCCATGTCTCGTCTACTGTAAATAGTGCTGCAGTGAGCATGGGGACGCTTCTATTGTTACGCTGGTCTCCTTCAGCCGACGGGGTTCCTTATGTGATTCCATTGTCTTTTACTGTATCTGGTTCATCGAAATCTTGTTGTCTTGGGCCAACAATTTGATTAGCTAACAATTCAGAAGACTGGCAGTTCAGGCAGCATACAGCGTGGTAACCTATTCTGTTGTCAAAATGTCACAGGATCAGCCAAAAGAGGAAATGACTCCACTACTTTATACAGGCTGGAAAGGGGCTATTGCAAAATAGCATGTTGGGATGGACTATTTCGTGTGGTCATCTTTGGAAACACAATCTACCATCTATTGCTTCATTCGTTTCTGCAGGCATAGCTCCTCACATAAGGTTTAAGAAATATTTGTTGAGCAAACCAAAAAAGTGAACAGAAACAGATGTCATAAGCTTTGGAAATAGATTCACCTGAACGAAGTCCAGTCCTACCATTGTTATGTAGCCTTGGACAATGTGAAATCTCAGACTGTTTTCTTTTGTCACACTGGACTTCTGTCACTCCTTGACTGTGGGATTTTATGGTTATTATGAAAGTGAAGAGGTAATGTGCATATGTACTTCAAAAAGTTCATGGAAAATGGAATTTAAAGGTAAATTTATTTTGGTGCAAAACATTAACCTTCAAAAATTTCATTGAAAACAGAAATTATAAAGAAACTATGCATGGGTTTCAAACAAAAATTGCACGAGAATAAATATATCTTTTAATGTCATTTTACATGAACTTTTTGAAGTACTGTCATATACAAGATATCTTGTATAGTGTCTGGAACAGGTAGATTCTTAATAAAGGCAACCATTGTTATTAAGATTGAGTAGTCTATTTTTAGGAAATATCTTTTGCAAATGTTAATATAGAGGGCATTGGTCATTTTCAGATGATTCTTACTTCCACATCTGCTTTGCATCCTTCATATGCACAATATTTTTATTATTATTATTATTATTATTAGGGTCTTCGCATTTAAAGCTGCTCTTTGTTCTTAATGGAGTGGCTGGAAATAAATATTTCAGGTCTCAGCATCAGAGAGGCCTTTTGTGATAGCTTTCAGAAAGTGGGACCAATTCCTAGTGTGTTTGTTTATTTTTCTCATCACCTGTTGTTTTCTTTAAGGTGTCTATCACAATTTAAAATAATCCTTTGTATTTGTTTCACATGTTTGATCATCTGTATCCTCTCACTACACAGAACTGTAGACAGGCACCCTGTGGTCTGCCCACTCTTGGAAGTCCAGGCTCTTACCCTGGAGTAAATGATACAGAATAAGGTCAGGAAATACTTATTCAATAAGTGAATACAAGGATAAATGAGGGATCACTTCCTCTCTCTCTTTCCTAACCCTCTGGGCTGTTACACCTACTTATTTGCTTTCAATCTCTTCATCCTACTGAAATTGCTTCCATTTTTTAAGAAAGGTAATATGAGATAATTAACCACTACACACATTTTTTTAAAAATGAGTTGAAGATTTGAGGGCTGCTGAGACTTCTATAAACTTCTATTTAAATGATCTGAGACACCATCTGAACAATTTCCTTGATGTTTTATTAGAGCTGGTAAATTATTTACTGGGCAGCCTTTACCTAAATCCTCTCCAAATCCCCATAAAATGTACTTTACACAGAATACTGTTCCAGCTTTAAAGATATAGATGATGCTAGGTGGGAAGTCTTTGCTCCAATGCAGCAAATTTAAATGCATGCATCCTCTTTCTTTCTGTACTTTATGCTCTATGTCACCCCAAGTCCTGCCTAACCTGTCTCATTTGAGTGCTGATTTTGGCGAAATTCATAGATCATTTATGTTTTCCTGATTAAACTTCTTTTTCCCCTGCCCTTCAACACATACACACTATAGGAGACTTTTAGCTAATCAAATGCAACTTCATCTCCCTTTGTAGTTGCCTTCAATTTAAAAGGATGCTTCCAATATAATTTAAAGCTTTTTTTTTTTTTTCCAATCAGAACACTATCCAACTAAGTGCCTTTGATTACGTCAAAGGCAGCACTCACTATTCCTACACGTCTCACTCTAGGCAGCCTGCTGTCAGCAGCCGCAGGGCATCACAGGGACAGTCCTCGGGCTCATTCCTGCCTGGGTCTGCGTCATGATTGTCTTCTCTAGACTGCAAGCTCTGAACTCTCAGGATGTGTGCTTGTGTGATGACTTGCATATGTTCTGCCCATATTTTATTTATTTATTTTTAAGAAAACTTTTATTTAATAAATATAAATTTCCAAAGTACAACTTTTGGATTATAATGGTTTTTCCCCTGTACCCATCCTCCCACCCGCAAACCATCCCATCTCCTACCCCCTCTCCCATCCCATTCTTCATTGAGATTCATTTTTAATTATCTTTATATACAGATCAGTTTGGTATATACTAAGTAAAGATTTCAACAGATTGACCCACACAGACACACAAAGAATAAATACTGTTTGAATATTAGTTTTACCATTAATTCGCATAGTACAACAGATTAAGGACAGAGATCCTACATGGGGAGTAAGTGCACAGTGACTCCTGTTGTTGATTTAACAACTGACACTCTTATTTATAATGTCAGTAATCACCCAAGGCTCTTGTCATGAGCTGCCAGGGCTATGGAAGCCTCTTGAGTTCACAAACTCTGACCTTATTTAGACAAGGTCATAATCAAAGTGGAAGTTCTTTCCTCCCTTCAGAGAAAGGTACCTCCTTCTTTAATCTGCCCATATTTTAGATACTATGAGATCTTCCAGGTGTAATTAGATAATTTTATAAGCTGCAAACATTTACTAAATACATGTTGATTTAACAAATGAAAAACAGAGATAACATAGGGATATTGTAATTTCCAGAAGAAAGGTCTAAAGATCAATGATGCAGAACCTGAGGCTAACTGTAGATGTTTTGGGATTGGCTTAGGGTGGCTACTCTTTCTACCTGTTGGATATATTTCTTTCC